CAGGCCGCGAGCAGCACCTGCGCGACGGCCCGGGCCATCTTGCCGTCGTACAGCACGTCGGAGCAGAGGATGAGGTCCGGCCGGAAGTCCGCGAGCGCGTTCTCCACCTCGATGAGGTCGAAGACGTCGAGGAACCGCAGCCGGAAGCCGCCGGCGCCCTCGACGCGCGTCGCGACGCGCGCGCCGTCCTCGCAGAGCCGCAGCGCGACAGCCGACGCGTCCGTCGCGAGGACCTCCGCGCCCAAACGGCACGCGGTCAGCGCGCCGAGGCCGCAGCCCGCGCCGATCTCCAGGACCTTGAGCCCCCGGAGCCCCGCCGCGCCGCGCGCGAGCTCCTCGGCGACGGCGACGCTCGACGGCCAGACGACGGTGGCCAGCGACTCGTGCGCCAGAAATTCGCCGCCCGTCGCCTTGTCCGCCGCCGCGGACGACGCCTGGTCCCGCAGCTCGAAGACCATGACCTCGAGGACCGTGAAGCGGCCCGAGCCGACGTCGGGCACGGCGAGGGGGCAGACGACGGGCACGATCCACTGGCCGTCCTCGGCGTCGGCGCAGAGCTCGACGCCGCCCTCGTCGAGGTCCACGTGGCTCAGCGCCTCCCGCAGATCCTCGACGACGGGCTCGTCGACGTCGAGCATCTGCGCCATGCGTGCTGTTGGCGGCGCGAGCGGCGGCGGAGCTAAGAGGCAGAGCAAGTGGCCCAGTCTCTCCCAAATCTGTGGCAACTCCTCAACATCAACTTTACATGAATGATAACGCCGAAGCTTATGGGGCGGCTTTCGGAGAGTGCGCGGGGGTGGTTTCGCGCAGCGGCCGGTGGTGGGGCTCGCCGCGTCGGCTCCGGGGGGCGCTCGGGGAGGAGCACCCCGCTGCGCGCGTCGATTGGGCGGCGGGGCGCCGAGCGCGAGAGCTTGCAGTGCTTGGCCGTCGGCGCGACGTCGCCCACGGGCCCAGGGGGCTGCCGCGCGCGCTCGCTTCGTTCGGATGCCTTCGGCGTGAGTCTTGGGGGGAGCTGGTGGGGTCGGCGCCCTCGATGGCTTCGGTGTGCGGGCTTCGATGTGCCCGTGTCCATTCGTTTCTCTGCATTCTGCAGCGTCTCTTCGTAGCGTGGCGCTGTGTGCGGCTCCGTCGACGTCGGCGTCTTCGCTCTCTTCGTCGGCGTCTTTGCTCTCTTCGGTCCCGCTGACTACGGGTGTCCTCTTCGGCGGTGCCCTCGGCTAGCCACTTGTGGTCCTGAGGTTGAATCGGCCTAGTCGAGCCGGACGTCCTGCCCGTCGGGTGCGGGTGCCTTCGTTCTCAACCTCCCCCGGTCCACGGAGAGTCCGTTGAGTGTCGTCTGAATGAGGCGACTCAGGATGCTACTGCCTTGCCCCAGTCCCGGCGTGCTCTCGGCGTGGCGGTGGTACCAGGCGTGGCGCGAGTGTACCGCCGCCTCCGTCCCGAGTGCGCGCACAT